GGCTTTTTTTGTTTGTTTGTTTGTTTATTTATTTACGTCTATAAGTAAGAGAAACAGTGAGACCCCCACAGGGTCCTGACACTGCAGTCCACCCCAGCCTTCAACCAGCTGTGGATCACAGGCATGTGTGTGCTTGGTGTGTACTTGGGGAGGGCTCTGGACTTGAAATGAGGACCTTCCCACGTGGGGTTGCCTCACAGAGTGTCACGTTTTACTGTTGCATCACCACGCATCTGGCCCCACTCCTCAGCTCTTTTTCAGATAGGGTCTAGCCATGTTGTCCGGGTGAGCCCTGAGTTCATGAATCTACATGTCCCCTACTTAACAGAATTTTCCCCAAAGTCCAAATTGGCAAACTGCCACAGGCTATCATCCATGAAGGCTATTGGAACCACAGCAGGGTCAGGGTGTAAGACGGGTGAACGGAGTGTACGAACACAGGATCACTCCCTGCCCTTACTGAAAATGTTTCTGTTCTTCATTATGTTAATTTTTCAGCATAAAAAAAATTTAAATTTATTTACCTCTTACATGAGTGAGAAAGACACATAGAGATAGCACTCCCAGCAGGGTCTCAGTGCCCTGTCCATGCCTGGCCTCATCCAGGCATGCTCAGAGTACTTATAGTAGTCTCCAAATGTGAACCGGGAACCCTCCCAGGGAGGTCAGCTTCATAGAACATGTTATCACTGCACCACTGTCCAGCCTCCCATACATTTTTTGTCTCACTCTAAATTCCTGTTTTGAACTGAATTTTTTATTTTTAAAAACACTGTGTTAAAATATTATTTATCTTGATTCCTGAATTTAAAAAAATTTTTATAGTCCTAGAAAATCACCCACTAGTGGCCAGTAGGCTGTGACATGGTAAAGGTACTGGACTCCCACATGTGGTTTGAGTCCCAGGCCTGGCAGCTTGCTTTCTCACTCTTGCTTTCTCTCTCTCTGTCTCTCTACAGTAAGCACATGTGTCCCCTAGCAAATAAAAAATAATAATAATAAAATTAAACAATTAAAAATAATTATTTTATTATTATTATTTAATTTGCTATAGGGCATGCCGAAACACACACACACACAGAGAGAGAGAGAGAGAGAGAGAGAGAGAGAGAGAGAGAGAGAGAGAGAGAGAGAGAGAGAGAGAGAGAGAGAGAGAGAGAGAGAGAGAGAGAGAGAGAGAGAGAGAAAACAAGCTACTAAGTCTAGGACTCAAACTGCAGTCAGCCACGTGGGAGTCCACAGCCTTATCCACCATGCCATCTGCTGGCCCCAATAAATAATTATTAAAAAAAAAAAAAGAATTACTCACTAGACGCCAAATGCCACTTGGGAACCACAACCTATCGACTTTTGTGGGTTACCAGGAGGCCCAAATGAAGAAACCCTGGGGAGCATGGATGAAGCTGGCGGCCTTAACAAGCAGGATGCCACTGATCAGACGTGAGCAGTCTGTTTACCTGGGTCACTCTGCCAACATGGATCCCCACATGGGTGCAGCACACATGGGTGGACAGGCAGGAAGCCCAGATTCACCTGAACAAAGTGCAGAAGGCTTGTAAGATGCTTACAGACCCTGCTGGCTATAGAATACAGGAAGTGGAGATGGGCTATGAGGAAGGATGGGCCTTGCAGAAGCCTGGGGAGGACTTGTAGACAGGACCCCAGGACCTGAAGCTCTATGCTGGGTGGTGGTGCTGCAGCGAGAGGAGAGAGGTGCTTTCCCTGCATCCCCCTGAGGAGGCTGTGGGCTAATCCTAGAGGGTGCACATGTGCCTCTGAAGTGTCCAGATGCAGGAAAGAGGTAAAGGTGGAAAACATTCTGATAAAATACCTACCAGTACGTCCCAACAGACCGATACCTTTCCATGCATAGAAAAAGCTCTCTGGATAAAACTTAGCTCTTAAAAGCAGCCTTGTGGGGCTGGCAGGTAGTGTGGTGGTTAAAGGCACTGAACTCCCACATGGCCAACCATGGTTTGAGTCCTGGACCTGGTGGCTTGATTTCTTGCTTTTTATTTCTCTCTCTGTCTCTCTCTGGTCAAATTAAATCATAACAAATGGAATTAAATAAATAAATTATAAATGAATTATTAAAAAAAAAAAAGCAGCCTTGCAGACCCCACATCTGCCTCCCTGTATCACCAAACAGTTTGCTACAGGGCATGACTAATTCTAGTAAAGGAAGCTACAGACAAGCAGCCTGCAGGGCAAGATTGAGAGAACGATAAGATAGGTCATACAGATTGTCTTGGTCTGATTTTGCTGTGAAACAAAGCCCACATCGGTGTTGTTTATATACACCGGGCAGATCCATACACAGAAGCAGGTGGCCAGAGCTGAGGGCACCTCTTAGGTACTAGGCATGAATGCACTGGAACCAGAACAACCCTGAAATTGGGATTTCAAATACACACTCTTCGTTATAGTGAATCCACTGCTCATTAGTTAAACATGATGGGTTGGTCTCATGGTCTCATATCCTAGTGGTTACGAGAACTGGATTCCGGGGCGGCAGGTGGCATGGTGGTTAAGGCCACTGGACTCCCACAAGGCTGACCATGGTTCAAATCCTGAACCTGGTGGCTTGCTTTCTCACTTTCTCTCTCTCTCTTTCACTGATCCTCTCTGGTCAAATTAAAATAAATAAATAAAGTTAAATAAAATAATTCTTTAAAAAGAGAGAGTGAACTGGATTCCACACAGCCAAACAAGGTTTGAATCCCAGCCCTGGGATTTGAAAAACATGCCAGGTACATCTGCCTGCCCTAAATCCCCACAGGCTGGAGAAATCGCCACTGGCCAGTGCATGCAACTGAAAAAATGGTGTTAAAAACAGGAAAAGCTCCTCCTTCTCTTCTCCTTTTTTTTTTTTTTTTTTTTTTTGCTAGAGGGGAATGTGTGCTCACCAGAGACAGACAAAAGGGAGGATAAAACACCCACCATAGGGCTTAGTCAAGCCACAATCTCTTCTCCATCTCTGTCTCTCAGGATTTTGGGCATGTACACACCGGTGCCAGGCCTGTTTCTCAAGCAACGGGGTCTAGGCCTCCAATGGTGTGGGGCCCAACTGCCTTAACCACAAGGCCACAGAGCTGCCCCGGAACGGCATTTTCAGAGGAGAAAAATACCGATGCTATAGACAAACTGACTTCAAAGAAACTTAGCGATGCACTAGCAATGACCTCTGAGTCTCGCTTTACAGGCCAGAGGAGAGAACTGAGTGAACGAGGGACTGTGCTCACACAGACGGTGGTTTGACGGGAGGTTAACGCGGAGTTAGTTCTGGAGTAATGGTAATCTCAGCTTGCTGCTTTCAGAAACACTCACTGACACTGCGGTTTCTGAGAATGACACTTGAAAAACACTCATGGTACTCAGAAAGCGGTGAGGCAGGACGTTTATCTGTATGAAACCATTTCTGTGCGAATGCTACCCAGTAGAAAAACAGTGGAGTTTAATTTGTAGCTAGAGTAAGACTAGACCAGGGAGGGGGATCCCCCGTCTGCCACTGCCCGGCCCAGGTTTCCTGTACGGGTTCGGTCACGTGGGCTGCCCGCAGGCGGCACCAGCAAGGGGCTTACACTAGGGCCGCAACTCGGCGATTCCAGACCCGCTGTCGATCAGAGGGAACCGACCAGTGGCGCCTCGGCTCTCCGGCTCTCCGCCTAGGCACACCTACGTGATGACCCTACCCTGCGTCCACCCACCCCTACCCCCGCCGCGCTTCCCACGGGAAGTCCCGAATTTGCACCAAGTCTTCAGGCACCCTCGGGAGACTTGAGCACCTTCTCGGGCCCGCCCGTCCCCCTCGCCCCCGGACCAGCGTGTCCTACTCTGGGGCATTAGGGAGCCCGGACCCCGGAGTATGGGGGTAGAGCAGTATCGGCTTCCGGC